TTCAAATGAACAGCAATACACCAGTCGACCCCAGTCCTTACCACATTCATCACTGAGTCCAATCTTTTATGCCATAGGATAGCCACACCCCCTGCTATCCGTCCCCTCACAATACCCATAGTCAGGTCTACTGTAGACTCCCCAGCCCCATAGAATTTATCATTAACAGAGTTCAGCTGACCTAGATCCTGTTTAGACAAGAACGTTTCTTGGAGGCAAAGTATGTCACATTTGTCCAGCAAGTTATCCACAACCAGACGTCGCGCTCTATCCGCTGCAGTATTTCCAACACGCAGGCCACGACAATTATAAGAGATGACCCTCATGTTTTTATTAGGAGAGCGCAGCCATTGCTCCTACAGACCCCGTCACCACATGGTTCTGGATGATGTCAGCAGTCCCCTTCCGCGTTGCTTTCCTTGGCTCATAATATCGCCGCACCAGCGATCCCTCTGGCCACAGCTCCGAATTGTACACCTCAGTGACGTCCTCACACTCAACGCTGACTTTAAAAGAGCTGCATCTGGTATTCCCAGTCACAATACGTTCACACTGAACATGACGGCCAAGTCTCTCTTTAAGATAGTTACAAAGTGTCTCAGCATCAAGATCAGGAAGAAATTTGGTGGCAAATACATTAACAAGCTTTGTCCGGACAGCTTTTATATTACCTTGCACACCAGTTCCATGTATAGGCTCCAGCCTCTTGCGCTCAGATTTATTAATGCTCTGCTTTATGCGAACGGGATGACTCTTATCCTTTTTACGCCAGCCTTGTTTCACTACCGTACTCCACTTAGGGGAATTAGGAAGATCAGCAACCCCTTCAATATTCTTATTCACAATATCAGTATCAACACCCCCGGCGTGACCGTCCCGGATTACATCACCATTAGAAAGCTCAGAGCCCGTAGAGGCCTGGGAGCCAGCCAACACATCCAGCACTCCAGGAATCTCCCCGGCTACGTCCGCAGCGCCGGCTTGTGCATCAAGGCCATGGATCCTCACTCCAGGCATGTCCGTACCCAGCTGCTCCCTTCCATCAGACATCACATGTCGTTCTACTACAGCAACTCTGCGATCGATGGTTGAGGTAACAACACGTAACTCCTCACCAACATCAGCCTGAAGCTTGACGACCTGTCTGAGAGCACAGATCTCACAGTGCAAACGCTCCATCTTACATAAAAGGGTAGAAACGTCCAAGCTATTAAATGTCACCGGCGGCAACTCATCAAGGAAGTGAGAGACAAGGTGCGGTATATCATATCCACACTCATTTAAGAGTTGTAGGCAACTTTTGATGTTATTTACATCTTTCTGCTTGCCCTTAAATGCCACATAGCATTGCTTTGTGTTAGGACACAGTTCAAACAACACCTTCCTTGAAGATTCAATCCATCGAGTGTCAAAATGATTCGAGGCAAGTAGGACAAGCTCGTCCTGGCACATTGTCTTAATCTTAACCGCAAGAAAGTTAAGAAACTCGTCCTCGACTACCAACATACCATCCACAGTTTTATAGACCTGCGGTTTCACTAGAGGTCGACTAAGGCTCGGAGCAGCAGCAGCACCCTGCTCCACACCGTCCACCATATTGAATAAAGAGTGTTGAGCTTGTAGCATGTAATTAAGAGGTTGACGGAAATAAGTACTCGTCCTGTTAGTTTCAGACGTGAACTGACACAGAATGTGGCTATTCGCAGGGTGCTGGAAGTGGAGGAATGTTAAAGATGAAAACAGGCAATTCTTGGGAAAGACAGACAAGTGGACTAGCGTGGCAGTGTTATCACTGCATGCTTACTGCTTGCCCATGCTCTGAGATGCATGGGCACTTTGCTTTGGCTGAAGTTAAGCCCAACACAGTTTTTTATATCAAGGGAAATATTCCATGTTAACAGGTGGTGTATTGTCAAGACTCAGTGCCACTGTTACAGTAAGACTGTTTCTGTGAGAATAAAGGCACCATTAACACCACTAGCGGTCCTCTACTGTTAAGTTATTTCTTTTTACTCCTCAGGAGTTCTGTTTTTTTTTTTTTTTTTTTTTTTACCTCTGGGCAATGTGTACATGTGTTTCAGAGAAAAAGAAAGGCATGAGGGAGTATGCAAATACTGCTGCTGTAGTAGTTTGCAATTATTCAGAGAGGGTGGAAATTAAAATAATGTAAATGTGGTTTGAGTGTGAAAACACCAGGCTGTTCAAACATGCTTAAACAGTTTACATTTGTTAGCCTGGGGGCTTGCATTTTCAAAAAATCTGGCACATATTATTTGTTGTGTTTTGCTTCAGAACTGAAAAAGCTAAAGCGTTATTCAAATTCTGACCTTTCACGCACCTCCACTGTATACTCCCCATAAGTCTTCTTTCACTCACTTCTTTCTGAAAGCTTATATTTTTCCCCAGGTGTTCCTTTCAAGGTGGATAGCAGACAACAGCAGCAGCATAAAGTCCAAACCAAGGCCCATTCTAGCTTCAAAGTTTCCTCACATCCAAAGCAGCTCAGACTTAAAGCCCTCGCACTGCAGCTTCAGTTCCTTTCACACACATTGAGAATCAGTTGTTCTGTCAAGTCATCAGCAAGGCTATAGCCCTCCCTGTTCCATCAGTGGTATGCGCAGCTGTGAGTGTGTGGGCACATGCATGTGTGTGTGTTCCTCTGTGTAAATGAGTTCCAGCTAGATTTAGTGGAGGGTTTTAGTTCTAGGCAAGGCTGAGCCCAAGGCACAGCCAGAACAGGTTTAGTTTCAAAGGGGCTTATCAGGAGAATTAGGCAAGCCTTTGGAGTTTGAGCAGAGCCTAATTCCTGGTGACCTTTCCCTGGCTCTGGTTTGACTTTTTGTGGTGATCAGCAAGTGCTCTAACAAGCTTTTCCATCTGTGTGGCTGGGGATTACTGTGGAACAACCGTGCCCTTCCCTGCACTGACAAGAAGCCATGTGTGGTGGAGAGAGAGTAGGTGAGAAAGAGAGAGAGAGAGCTTGAGCAGAAATACGCAGTAGCCTGCAGGGGCATTGCCATGCCTGTCAGTGTGTTGAGGAGGATTCTGCGCTTGTCAGAGTCTTCTTTTGAGACAAATTGATATGTTTTGTTTTGCTATTTTAAACTGCCAGGCACTGGGAACCCTTTAGTCCATTAGTCAAGCATTCATGGACACTTGAATTATTTTTCTTTATTCAAAGAGGAGTCTCTTACTTTTTTTGGAATATGCCCTTAATATTCACTTCACCTTCTCTATGCCACAGACGCTAGGATTATCATTACGTACCACGAGGGCTTAGTGGTGTCTGAGGTAGGTGTACTTTTTCACCATTGTTTTGAGTCATCTTTCACTGGACAGAGCCTTGTATGAGGAGGGTCGTCAGGTGCAGAAACTTTTCCCTGGCATATTTGTTAAACCAGTGATTATTAACACACTGCTCCTTATGCAACATCCTTATCAACTAACATTTTATTGTCAGTTATTCCCAAGCAGATCACTATGCATACAGATGGAGCATATGGTTTCATCAGGTTTTATATTTCCTATTTGTGTTTCAATACAACAATATGCAAATGAGATGTTATGTCATCTGATTGCATTCATTATACTGCCACAGACGATCTTTGTTCAGAAACCCCTGCTGTGTCAACAATTGAATTGATTGCATGTAATCAGAGCACTTCTGAATTAATTATGGAAACAGAGAATGTCATATCACTTGTAATTAAACAGTGGCTTGTTGACTAAATGAAAAAAGACAGCAATGCTTATTTTACTCATTATACTGGTATGTGAAATAATCAAGTACACTGGTGCTTGTCTGTAGGTTGTGTGGCACTGTGAGTACAGAGAGAGTCAGTTGTCGGTCTGTTTCTTCTGTTCTTGTCAGCAGTGAGCATTTTGTTGGCACAGATAGCTGTCAGCTGTTCCACACTTGTTACATCTTGCAGGCATTTTCCATACCCACTTCACACTTGGTGACATACCCAATGATTAGGAACAGTACAATTTATTGCAGGTTATTATTTAAATATTGGATTGACTGCTTACCTTCACTGTCAGGTTGACTTAAGTATTATTCTTGTCACTGTGGAACATTAGTTACATATACACATCAAGAAAGCACATTGAAGTCAGTTTCTTAAATAGATTAGCTGGAATTATCAAACCAAGTAAACTTGGATGGTACTCAAGAATCCTTTCATTAAGTTTATCCGTTTTGGAATGTAAGGTTAGCACTGTGTTGTACGCATACAGTTACATTTTGATTACATTATATCAGACAGAAGGGTATAACCAACCCAGCCATTTTTAAAACTACGCTGGACAACACTGACACAAATCTCTCCACCAAAATGCCTTTGAAAGCCTATATTGGCAAAATCCAGATAAATATTTATTCCACATACTAAAATTATTGACAACATGAGCAATAAGCCAAAGAAATTGTTATTACCACACTTGATAATTTTTCCCTAAAGCTATTTTTTGAAGCTAGAATTTGAGCATTTCTGACTTGTGCAATCTCCAGTGGTTATATCACCAACAAAGAACTAAAGGTAGACCCTATACAAATGAATGTGTTTGCCAAAATGTAATATTGAAATTAACATAGTACCTTCAGTATTTTGCATCTTTGAAATCACAAATGTTTTTGATACACATTTGCACGTTAGACATAGGCTCTTGTTTAGCTTTAAGTGATGAGCACCTATAGTCCAGAACATAAGATTTTGGAGCTGTTTGTCCATATGAGCTCACAAAAAGCCAAAATATGTCAGAGATATCAAAGGTTGGTTTGCTAAAATCAACAGCTGGGTTCATTCTCAAAAAGCAGGTGTCACAGGAAAACTAGAAAATGGCAAATGACCAGGTAGAGCAAGGAGCACAGGCTGTATGGATGACAGGAACATCATTTTCATGATGAAGAAAAAGGCTGTTATGACTGCCCAGCAAGTCAAGAATGCTCTCCAGCATGTAGGCATCTCTGTTCTAGCAACTTGTTAAAAACATGTTGTAGAGAAGTGAGAAACCAGAAGCTGTGATGGAACTTTTTTGTTCTCCAATTTGTTTATAATCCCTTCACATAGTGGAGTGGAGCAGTAAACACTCCCTGGTTCCATTTCTTTATTTGCATAAAGTTCAGTCTTTCTCAACTTTCCCCTTTAGTGTAGCCTTTGAACCTGTTGAGCTGTGCAGGCAGTGCAGGGCTGCAAATCAGGGTCTCATCCTCAATGAATGGCAGCTCTCTCTGGCAAAAGGCTACATAGGAAGCACAACTGAGGGCAACTAAATCACTGAACCATGTGTATTATGATACTAATGTTGTATCTTTTGATAAATATCATCTGTACATAAATTGTTGTCTTTCACTGCCCTTGGTGTGTCAGTATTTATAGAGAAGATAACCCAAGTGCCCATACGGATGGCTTTGCCAAGGCACACAGTAGGAGCCAGTACTGCTTGTTATATCCCTTTAAGAAACCTCAATGGGTCCAAGGGTGAGGAGAGAACAGCCTCATCATCATCATGCAGAAGTCATTTGTGTAGCCTCTCCTCCCTCTCTTCTGCATTATCATAAAAAGTGATTTAGGACTGATTGATGCAAATGGCCCTCTGTTCTTTTCTATCATTAACGGGCCCTTCGCCGTGGCCACAGGCGGTGATTAAAGCTGTCATTTCCAGCTACTCATTAAAGGAGAGCGCTTGGCTGTGGGAGGGATACAGAGAGGAAGAGAGGCAGGGAGACAAGAAAAAGGAGGTGGAGGCTGTCTAGTGAACCTTTAAAAAAGGAAGAAGAAAAGAGAAACAGAGGCCTATGCAGTGTTTTCATAATTGTTGTGTTCCCTCCAGTTTGGTTTAGGCAGAGAAAAAAAATCTGTGGTCACAATCCATTATAATACAATCTTTTATGATTCCCTAAACGTTTCTTTAGTTTCGTCTGCCAGTGCGGTTGCTTATGAAAAAAAAAAAACAAGCAATAACAAGCGACAGTAGGGTTCAAATCGAAGCCACTTTATAGTTTGTATTAATTTTCACATTTTGGGTGGAACTAGGAAAAAGTTATGACGCACATAGACAATAAAAAAAATCAATACAACTCTGTTTTATATTTCTGTTTTGCTGCTGGCTATAAATCACAAACAATGCTCTCAAAGAAAGTGAAACTGTAGACTACACAACCACAACAACCCCAGATAGTGAAGTGTGTCTGCAGCCGCCCCATGACTCCTGGCAAAGACATTACTGTGTGTGGCTCGCACATACACTCAAA